TTGGTGTTGTAAGAGCATGTTATTTTGAACGATTAATGCAATGGTTATGTTTGTCTTGAAGAAATCCATTCATATTCATTCGTTTAAATTGCTTTTCTGCTTTATAAATGCCAATACCACCAAACCTCTTGTCTAGGAAGAGAATTAGAAGCAAGATCAGTTTTCCAGGGGTTGGGCTACAAATCAAGTTGTGATGGAACATCAACTTTTGTCAAAGGACGCCCGAAGACCATAAAAGAAGTGTTTATCAGTGGGGGTTTTCAAATCAATGTCGTTGAGGAGGATTTTGAAGATGAAGATGTCGATTACCTAGTGTTTCATTGCAAAGCCGCTTTGAACAATTGGGAAACTGTTGAGATTCCTGTTATCTTTCCTATGCTAAAGTAATTTATTGTTGTTTTGTTGTTTTCAATTTCCATAGCCATGTCCAAGGCTATAGGATCATTTTGTAGGGCCCTGCGCTTTCAAAGTTATTATGACTAATGAATATGTTTTGTTAAACTTCTCGTTTTGTTTCATTTACTGTTTTTTTGCTTTTACTTTTAAAGAAAATGGAAATCTTTTGAAAACCAGCAGAAATATATTTCTTTTGTTCTGTTGCATTTGTCTTTGTGTGTTTTAATAAGTTAATCCATTCCAAACATGCAGAGAAACTCCAAAACTCATTGAATCCAATGCCTTTGTTTCCCCTCCTGACTTCCACTAACCCATATACCACGTCGAAGATGATGATGAAGATTTTGAGATTCCAGATGAACTGACAAAGATAGTCAAATATGAGTACATAAACCTTCAACCTCACAAGGAGCAAGTGGATGTTATTAATCTTGGTACCGACGAAGACAAGATGGAGGTCAAGATTGGGGAAACACTTGGGGCAGAAATCAAGCAGAGACTGGTGAAGCTTTTAGAAGAGTTTGTTGATGTATTTGCTTGGTCATACCAAGACATGTCTGGCTTATACACTGATATAGTGGTTCACAAATTACCGCTTCTACCAGAATGTCCGTCCGTCAAACAAAAGCTCCAAAGGACTAGGCCTGACATGGCTCTCAAGATTCGGGATGAGGTCAAAAAGAAGATTAATGCAGGTTTCCTGGCACTGTCAAAATATCCAGAATGGTTGGCCAATATTGTACCTGTGCCAAAGAAAGATGGAAAAGTCAGAATGCGCATGGATTATAAGGATCTGAATAAAGCTAGTCCGAAGGACGATTTCTCTCTGCCACATATTGACACTTTGGTAGACAATACAACTCATTTTGCAGTCTTCTCATTTATGGACATTTTTTCTGGTTACAATTAAATCAAGATGGACCCAGATGATCTGGAAAAGACTACCTTCATCACCCCTTAGAGGACCTATTGTTATAAGGTCATGCCCTTTGGTCTGAAAAATGCTGGGGCCACTTATCAGAGAGCTATGGTCGTGTTTTTTCATGACATGATGCATAAAGAGATAGAAGTGTATGTTGATGATATGATTGCCAAGTCTCAGAGTGAAGAGGATCATTTGGAACATCTATTGAAGTTATTTGAGAGGCTTAGAAAATATCAATTGAGGCTGATGTCATACCCCAAACTTGTCCTACTTGTATATAGCTTTCATCTGTACTTCCACCCACTAACAGTTATTCAAAAAACCCAAATAAATGTTACTTCTGCTTGTTGTTCAATTTTGTGCAAGGTTGAATTCAAGGTTCCTGGTAAAGTGTATATGCAGTATTAATTTAAGTTCATCTGATCCTGACTTAATATTGGTCAGGCAAAGTTTTGTTCAAGTGGTGTGGGTATGAGTTTTCAATTAGGGTTTCTACCTATGCAAGTTGTCTGTGGGTGAATCAGTCTATCAGTTTGTGATAAGAGAAGATGTTTCATGGTTGGAGATTATCCAGAACCAGATCATTCCTAACTTAGGGTTTTGGTGTAGTTGTAATGCAGTTCATATCAAGTCACTATCTTCTTATTTCAAAGCTGTGAGAATTTTTTTTAGGGTGAAAGATTATGGTTCATTAGAGATTCAAGTGACATTAGTGCAATATGACTCCATTTCTTGATTCATGGCGCCAATTCATTCCCAAGCCAAGAGTTCATAATCGATTTTATTTCTCAAGAACTTTAGTCAAGATGCTAGTTATTCAAAGATTATTAGAAATTGGTTTTTAGCGCAATTTGTGGATTCGATTCAAGTGTGGTGTTAATGTGGACAATCCAATCAAGGTTTTAAACATAGTCCAATTTCATTTCACTACAAATTTAAGTCAAAGTGGAGGTGCAAAAAATCAAAGATTCCAAAAGCATCCAACTCAATTTTAAGCCATAACTCCCTCAGCAAAATACTTAGACAAACATAAATTATATTCTTGCTGATCCAAAAGACAAGGTTGTTCCTCAATGAATAGACACCCTTAGACCAACAAGATAATACTGATGTCCTCACATCAGAACATAATGTCAAGATAGATGTTACAACATCTAATATCTGACAGGGCAAATAAACCAGAGATAAAATAAATTACAGAAAAGTAAAATTAACACAATCAATTTGTAACCCAGTTCGGTGCAACATCACCTACATCTGGGGACATCTAAGCCAGGAAGGAAATTCACTATGATAGAATTAGTTCAAAGATAAGTTCCCCCGTTTACAACTTCTCGCCTAATCACTACCTTGTGCAACTTCTACTTAGAAACCTTCTATATATGACATCCCCCTCCCACTTCCTAATCAGTCACAACCCCAATGACAATTCTACAACTACACAAAATATAAGTAGCACACTTCCAAGACAATACTCGGTTTTGCTTAAAAGTTTCAACCAAGAACAATACACTCTTTCTTAAAAGCTTGAGTGGACAATGAACAATATACAATCACTCTACCTCAATGTATCAAAAGATACATGGGTGACTTGCAAAGTTACACAACCAAGACTCTCAAAACCTCCCCTTGTTTTTACAAAAGAGAAAGCCGTTAAACACATTAGGTTTAAGTCTTCTTTAAATAATCTTCAAACCTCGTGGGCTTGGTCTCTTGAAGCGCAATTCATCAGGAATCATCTCGGAATAAAAAGCATAATCTCCTGCACAAAAATAGGAACAAAATACAAAGTTTTCTAAAAAGGCTCAAGAGTCCTTTTTATGAAAGCTAATAGAATTTGTCAAAACAGAAATTCTCACAATATACTCCCATGAGTAACACACATGTGTGAATTAGAACACACTCAAAAATCACACTAAAAATACCAAAATAGTCATCCCCTAACTTTCTGGTATAACATGTCCTGACACATGTCACGACATCATACTGAACATGATGTCTGACTGTCATGGCAGAACATCTGATTTAATATCTTGCTAACAACATGTAATTTTACCAAAATGTTGCCAATACAAAAACCACAAAACTTACAATTTTTTATAATTGGACATCATTTTTCAACATACAAAATTCATCCTCTTCCTATTATGTTTGAAGTCACTTGTTGAACAACTCATCTTTATGATGATTCTTCCCATTGATTTTTCTCTCTATTGGTCATTATATTATTTGGTTTGGTTTGATATCATATTTTTGGTGTTAATTTGTAATAAACCTAAATTTTAGTAATCATGAGCCTTAGGTGGAGTTAGAATATTATAAATATCTTATAATTTTTTTTATATTAATTTACAATATTTTAGAGTATCTGATTTGATATTTATTATTATTATTATTATTATTATTATTATTATTATTATTATTATTATTATTATTATTATTATTATTATTATTATTATTATTATTTTGTTCTTAATTTAAGAATGAGTTTATGTATCCCCCTTAAACAAGGATTAGTATTGCATTTTTTATTTATCAAATTAATAACTATTATCAATAATAACTAATGTTAAATCAATTCACAATTTTTGCACACTAAACTTTAAATCAGGTTCAACTTGCAAACCTTTTACACCAGTGATTCACCCTTGAAAGTTTCACTAACAACTTGAGATTTTATCACATGACTAACCTAGAACATTATACACCAAAATTTTACCAAAGTTCAACTTGCAACCCTTATAATATTAGCTACAAGAGAATGACACACTTGATTTACAATTAAAACTCAAAACATATTCAAACAATAGTTACACTAGCAGAACTCTTACTTAAGAAGAAGGTGCAAATATAGTAGAGGGTATGAGCCTACAATCTTGACTCGACCCGCGAAAAAATGAGGGCGGGATGGGACAAGACTAACACCCTAAAGTCTAAAAGTTGAAAAAATTCATGTGTGCCTCATTAATGTCTACACCCATCAAAGCATGCCAAAAATGTGACGAGATAGAGCCATCATAATAGAGGTGAAGTCTAAAACATTAGCTTTACTCGCGAAATAATACAGGCAAAACGTGTCTGCTCGACAGAGCAAACATGTATTGGTTCCCCTACTTGTTGTCAGTACGAGAGACTCTGCCTGCGATATGCGACAACAAATGTATCCTCTTGAGTAGTGATCTTGAATGAGTTATGATCTTGGTGTCATTCTTCTCACCATGTATTTATAGTTGTACTAACTTTAATCTAATTTTAATGGTTATGATCATTATGTTATATTTTTTATGGCCTTTACTGCCCTCCTCCCTCTTTCTTTAGGATTCAAAATGCTTGAATCCTATCCATATCTATTATATGACTCGAGCCTGAGAATACTTTCATATTTTAAAACCGAATTAATCTTATAACATAATATTCTCGCTCAAACGGTGACCATGTCCTGATTTATAACAAATGAAAAAAAAAATCTCAAAAGGTTTAAAACAAAAGCATCAACCAGCAAATTTAGAATGACAAAAAACTATTTTTGAAAAAAATAGAATATAAGAGTATATTTAAGTCTATTAATTAATAACTTTAAAAAAACATATAAAAAAAAAATATCATCAAAATAAAATAATAATCTTATAAAGGCCATAGAAACGAGTGGTAGTACCATATCAATCCGACTCTACCTGAAATGACCAATTTTGAGTGGCTGTTCATTGCCATAATAGCATCAACAACTCTTTCCAAATGCATTGCATTAGCAACAGATCCATTGGTCCAACAAGAAAATGACAGGATTGTGAAATCACTACCAGGTCAAAACTTCAACATCAGCTTCCAACACTATTCTGGTTATATCACAGTGAACGAGGATGTCGGTCGGACACTGTTTTACTGGTTCATTGAAGCAGAACATCCAGATCCTACTTCAAAACCCCTTCTTCTATGGTTCAATGGTGGTCCTGGTTGTTCTTCCATTGCTTATGGAGAAGCTGAAGAAATTGGTCCTTTTCATATTGGTTTAGATGGCAAAACCCTTGATCGCAATCCTTATTCTTGGAATCAACGTGAGTTTTACTGTGTTTATAGCATGTTTGGTTTGGCTTTTGGAACAAGTAAAAGCAATTCTAGAAAGATAGAATTATAAAATTGATTTCGTCTCCAGAATTGATTTTAGTAGAACCTATCATTTGTAGCTTCTGAGTTTTAACATGATTTTTACACTGAAATTTGTTGTTCAAATATAAATCAATTTTGCTAAAATCAATTCTACCAAACTCAATTATGTTAAAATCAATTCTATCCACTGCCAATCCAAACAGACACTAATCATTCAGATATTGTATGCTATAAACTATGGTGTGCTAAACCATTTTCATTTTGTGTTTGCTTTGGTGTTTGGTAGTTGCCAATATTCTGTATATTGACTCTCCTTCTGGAGTTGGATTTTCTTATTCAAAGAATTCATCTGACATTCTCAACAATGGCGATAAGAGGACAGGTAAGGTTTCTCCTTTTATTTCTTCTTCTTTACAATACACCTAATATTTAGCACATGGCTTAGTCGCTACTCTGGGTTTTAGGGTGTAGAAGGTTGTTGGTTTGAATACATCTGCAAGATATGAATTAAGTTGATATTTCTTTATGTGCAGCTGAGGACTCTCTCATATTTCTATTGAAGTGGTTTGAGCGTTTTCCTCAATATAAAGAAAACGACTTTTTCATCAGTGGTGAGAGCTATGCAGGTAAACACAAATGGTTTGATAAATAAATACACTTGCATTGTCAAGTGTTTGAGTTCTCTGATTCTGGTTTTCCTTGTTTCAGGACATTATGTTCCTCAACTTAGCCAACTTATTGTCGACTACAACTCAGCTGCAAAACAAGATTCTATAAATTTCAAAGGTTACATGGTATGGATTTTTATACATTGCATGTATGTGGGGGATAAAATTTGTAGAAAAAGGTATGAATCAATAACATATATTATCTCTGTCTGCTGCAGGTAGGAAATGCTTTAACCGACGACTTCCATGATCAATTGGGAATTTTCCAGTTTATGTGGACAACTGGTATGATTTCGGATCAAACATTCAAGCTGTTGAACATACTATGTGATTTTCAGTCAGTCGAACACACGTCACAATCATGTGAAAAAATCTTGGATATTGCTAATAGAGAAATGGGTAATATAGACCCGTACAGTATCTTTACCCCTTCTTGCCATGCTAATGATAATCAGCTGGTTAAAAGAAAGCATGTGAGTCTACTATCTTGCTTCTACTATTTTCTACTCATACTTTTTTCATTTTTATCTTTAAGGGTCCTAATATTGCTGGCTGTTGAAGATTTTCTTGTCTGTCATGGTGCAATGCATGTTTTCAATAACACTTGGTTCTATATAGAGAATTAGAATAGAATACTGTACCATCATGTTTTCTTACTTAATCACTTCATCCTTACATGCCTCGTGCTCGAGGGACTGTGTAACGGTATATTCATTGCGGCCCAAGCCCACTTGGCATATGGTGACCTCGGCCCTTTAGGGTTATAGCCCGCTAAGCTCCTAGAGAGTACTCAAAAGAACATCAGCGAGCTCAAGCCCAACATAGCAGTGACATGTTGAGACACGTTTTGGGGAAGTTTGTAGGATTCCTTAGTCATTGTCACACTCCCCAGATTCAATGAGTGTATCTCGGGTTTCGTATGCTGGTTCTTCTGCTCCTCAAACCAATTTTCAATCACAAACGCACAATCTGATGGATCTTGAGGATTCAGTACTAATTTAAGTGCCAAATATGTTACAAATAAGGCTATGAGGGCCTCTATCAGTTACCATGTGTTCAATCCTGACAAATGTACCTCTGCAGCAGTTTGTATCTTAGTAGTTGATACCTCCTAAGATAATGTTTAGATAAGTGCGGCCTTCTGGTGCTTAAAACCTTGTTAGTGTTGTCAATTTACAAAAGATAACGGTGTTTATTGAGTTTCACCCCTTTATGTTTAATTCGAGGGGAGTAGGTGAAAACAACCACGAGCCAATGCTACAGGACCACATGAAAGGGAGACACCACTTCTTCACCCAAAACCTATGAGTAAATGAGTCACTCATTCTTAGTCAATATGCGACTTAACCTCTTGCAATCGAACCCAACAATATTTCCCGTGAGTCTCCCACATCCAATACTTGATCCAACACCCGGATTCCACTCATGCTGCTCACCCATCAGACCATACCCTGCCTCTGATATAACCTCTGACAACTGAACCCAACAATTTTCCCCTCAAGTGTGACTATCCCACATCCAATACTTGATCCGAACATCCGGATTCCACTTGGAGACGGTTGTGAAATTATCGTTAAGTATTGGGGAGGCAATCTGTTAATGAGATACATTGCTGTATGAAAAGTATGGTTCCAAAAAGAGGCAGGCATGGGAGCTTGGAACAGGGAAGACAACTCCATTTAAACAATATGCCTAAGACAAAGTTCAAATCTCCTCGGAGACGGTTGTGAAATTACCATTAGTGTCACTTTAGTTAGTAGCTATAATTTCCCCCTTCCCCAATTTTGAAAGAAAAAGAAAACTACACTTTAATAATGTGGGCCGGGGATACCAGTCTCTGATGAACGCCAAGAAAGATAGAAATTTAGTAAATAGAGATAAAATTTACCACCCAACCTATTTTGGCAGCTCTGATGGGTTTACTAAATTGTAATTCAACTAAAACATTGAATCGTCTAAAAACCAGTGTTTCGTATTTTGTTAATAAGTAGATCCAATTATATCTACTGTAGGCTTCAATAAAGGCAACACAGTCGGTATATCCCATAGACGAGGTCATAGATTGAGGGTGACCAGCTTATTGAATTACTAAAAGGAAGATGAACTTTACTAGCATGATTCTTTACATGTGAAGAGGCAGAATGAAGCACAGCCAGCAGATTAGCTAGCTTGGTTCAAAGCAATCTAACCTTGTTTTGATAATGTTTAGAAATTGTCCTAGATGTATCAGCTCAGTGGTAACCCTTGCATTCACTGCATTTCAAATTCCTCATCGAATTCAGCACTTGCGTCTCTTTGATTTTCTTATTTTTTTCATACTTCTACTTGAAAAAATCAAAGTTATGTAGTAAGCACTGGATTTTCTAGTAGTCGATCTACCACATAATCATTCTCAACATCTTTCCAACTTCGTAGAGATAAACTTCTCCATGTTGATTGTCTATAAGAGATATTTCTCACCCTAAAAAATGGTAGTGTTATGACTGAGTTATCATATGTAACAGGGTATCCGAAGACTCAGAAGTGCATATGATCCTTGCACCGAGAAGCACAGCACTAAATACTTCAATCTACCCGAGGTCCAAAAGACTCTACATGTTGATCCTGATCATAAGCCTGCTAAATGGGAGACCTGCAGGTATTGCTCATAAAAGAAACTTTTGAAAGTCTCTACTTATTTTCACAGTATCTGTTCCAAATTATTCTCATTCATTGCAGTGATGTGGTGGCTATTAACTGGAAAGATTCTCCCAGATCAGTGCTCGATATATATCGTCAACTGATTCCTACCGGGCTGCGAATATGGATTTTCAGGTTACTCCCATCTACTAATATCTACACATGCCTTACATATATGCTTATTCATTCACCGAATGCCATTACATATATGCTTACATTGATTTTTTTTTTCATTTCAGTGGTAATACAGATGCTGTGATCCCGGTGACATCTACTCGCTATACCATAAATGCTCTCAAGCTTTCAACTGTGGGCCCCTGGCGCGCATGGTATGATGACGGGGAGGTAAGTCATTAAGAGATATATATATTCCATCCATTTTCTTCTTGCTGGCTATTCTTCACTTCATTGCATTGACATTGACATATAAGTGTAACAAACAGGTAGGAGGATGGACTCAAGAATACGCCGGCCTCACGTTTGTTAATGTAAGAGGTGCAGGCCATGAAGTTCCTCTGCATAGACCAAAGCTTGCTCTAACATTGTTCAAAGCTTTCTTAGCAGGAACCTCCATGCCTACTCTCGAACCTGTCACACTCATCGCAGCCACTTGATATGATTCATACAAGTTTATGGCTGTTGCATTGCAGATTGTGTGTTTTCATGGAATATTTTTCAATAATATTTTTCCAAGCAAAATGTTTTGCTCACTTTTAGTTCGATACATTATATAACAATAAACATCACTCTATTTATCAATTTTTGCTGATGGAATTGTGTTTCACAGTTCTTTTCACAAAGATATGTGTTTTCCCCTTCTATTTTTAAACTCTACAGTTCATATTAACATCTGGCAAAAAAGCTAACTAAAAGAAAATGCATTGAAGTCTCAGTCAAATTAAATAGAAATCTTGACTTTACATGATAAGGCTCAGTCATTAAATAGCTTGGTACAAGCTGAAATATTGCTAACACGGTTAGATTAGATGTGTAACAGCTATATCAGTGATGCAAAGATGCTAACAAGGCTTGTGAATGGCCTTAAATGAAGATTTTGTAAAAATGTCCAGCTTGTTTGATCGAGTCAATAGGCATGAGACGCACTGTGTTGTCTTAAATATTGTCACGAACGACATGGCAATCTATCTCAATATGTTTTGTGCGCTTATGATAAATTTGGTTGGTGGCTATTTGAATTGCAAGTTAGTGCAATAGATGGTGATGGGTTTGTTGATGGAAATGTTGAAATCGTGGAGAAGATACTACAACCAGAAAGCTTCACAAGTAGTGTTTGCTAAGGCCCGATATTCAGCTTTAGAGGATGAGCGAAATACAGTTTATTATTTCTTGCATTTCTAAGAAATCAGAGAGGTAGACAAGAAGAAAGCGAACTCGGTGGTAGAAATACAGTTTATTATTTCTTGCATTTCTAAGAAATCAGAGAGGTAGACAAGAAGAAAGCGAACTCGGTGGTAGAACGCCTTGTAATGGGGCAAGCTCCCTAGTCAGAGTCAGAGATGTCAAATAGTGTCATGTTTGTCTTGTGTTTGAAGTATAGGCCTAGGGCTAGAGCATTCTTGATGTATCGTAATATCCTGAAGGCATCTTGCATATGCAGTTTTGTTGGTGCGGCCAGAGATGTTGGATAAGTCTGCAAAAAGAAAAGCTTATGTCATGGCATGAATGTGTGAGGTAAATAAGCTTACCAATAAGACTTCTGAATTTAGTAGGGCCTATAAGAAGTGGAGTTTTGTTACAGTGTAAGTTATGACTTGGATTCATAGGTGTGGAGTCTAGTTTGGCAGATATAAGGCATTTTTCTTGGATGAGATCCAAACTATATTTGTGTTGATAAAGTTAGATTCCATGAATAGTTCTTGCAACTTCAAAATCTAAGAAATACTTTAGATTTTCTAGGTCTTTAATGCTAAAGGCAGTGTCCAAGACTTGCTTTATGTTATTTATCTCAATTAGATTGTTTTCTGCAAGGATCAAACCATTAACCTATACAAGTATAATTGTAAAATAATTGTCTGATTTCTTAGTGAATAATGAACAGTCAGATTTGGATTGAGAATAACCTAAAGATATGAGAGTATTGGATAGTTTATGGTTGCATTGTTTACTACCTTGCTTGAGACATAAATGGATCTCTTAAGCTTGCAAACAAGGTTTTTGTTTGATACTTTTAGCCCAAGGAGAATTCTCATATAAATCTCTTCTTCTAAGTCACCATGTAAAAAAGCAGTGCTTATGTCAGGTTGATGTAAAAACCAATTTTAACAAGATGCTATGGAAAGAAGAAGTCTTATGGTATTCATTTTAATAACAGAGCTAAAAGTATCATGATAGTCTAATTCTTCGAGTTGGTTGAACTCTTTAGCCACTAGGAAAACTTTTGTACCTCTCAATGGTACCATTGGCTTAGAACTTTAATTTAAAGATCTATTTACATCTTATGACACATTTTTTTATTGGGAGGAAGGGAGTTAAATCTCAAGTGTTACTGGTAATGAGGGACTGTAGCTCATTAGGAATAACTCCTTGTCAATTAGGGTCAAGAATGACAGTGGCATAAGATGTAGGTTTAACGGGGGAAGATAATTTAAGGTTAAATGTTCTATGTTGATGAGATAAATTAGAGTAAGAAATGAAATTAGATATGGGATATAGAATGATACCCTTAGTAGAAAGATTGGAAGAAGAAAGAGTACCTTTAAGCATGTCACATTGGAAGTCTTGAAGATATGTGAGGGGTTTTGAAATTATGGTGGATTTCCTAATAGTAAGAGGTGCCGGATGGTTTGGGGTAGCCGGTTGATTGGAGTGTCCATTAGGAACATGGGAATTTGTGGGAGAAGGGCCAAGGTTAGAAGTAGGTACAACAGATTCAGGGAATTTGTGGTTGATGTGTTTGGGGGATAGATGTAGTGTTGGCCTTCTTTGAAGTCATGGAAATTTTCATGGTTATAAGGGAATGTAGAATGAGGCAAGGCTGTTGTACCTGGTTTGTTGTTCAGATAAAAAAAATTGTTCATAAAAAATGGTATCTCGAGATAGCAGCATCTGTTCACTATTAATGTCAAAGAAGACATGACCTTTGACACCATGTTTCTTTCTAAGATAAATGCATTTACGGGATCTAGAGTCAAGATTGGTTCTATATCTCTTAGAGCTAATGGTATAGGAAAAACAACCAAAAGGTGTAAGGGAATTATATTCAGGAAGTCTGTTAAAAAGTAAAGTAAAATGAGTTTTGCCTTGTAATACCTAGATGACATTATTTTGATTGGAGAAATGGCATGAGACAGGGCATGGGTATATATTTTTTTGGTAAATGAGAGTGGAAAAGAAGAGCACGGATAACCCTTAAGAGGTGTTGATACTTTCTTTCCATAATCTCATTTTGCTGGGTGTATCAAGACACGAGATTTGACTAATGATACCCTGATTTAAGTAATAGTTTTGAAGTGTGAATTCATGTCCATTATCAGATCTCATTGTTTAGGCACAACTTGAAAGTTGGGTTTTCACATAATTAATAAAAGATTTTATCAAATTTGAAGTTTCAGACTTTTGTTTCATAAAAAAAATCTAACAAACAATTATGTTCATCTACTACAATGAGAAAATAATGGTGGCCTAACATAGAGGGGGTGGAAATAGGACCCTATATATTCATATGGATGAGGTCAAAGCATTTATTAGAATATGTATTACTAATGAGAAAGAGAAGTCTCTTATGCTTAGCAGATAAACAAGCATCAAAGGGGGATAACATATATAAGAATTTATTTATTTATTTGAATAAGAGTTTCATTAGATGGGTGGCAGAAATGTTGGTACCACAAATTACATTTATAAGTAGAAACAAAATGAATACGTGAGCACATATAAACCATGAAAAAGCTCAACTGGACCAATCTTCTTCAGGGAACGAGTCCCCTGCATAATGCATTGATGAGAGTTAAAAATGACGTGACAATTAAGAGTTTTGATCATTTTAGGAACAGAAATTAGGTTGGTGCAAAAACTAGAGATATAAAGAACACTAGTTAGGTAATGCTATCATTAAAAATGACAACACCAATACATTAAGTTTCAACAATAGTCCTATTAGGGAGCCTAACATGAATAGGCTTGATGGAAATTAAATGGGTGAACATATTTTTTAAGTTGCACACGTGGTCCGGGCCCCATTTATATAAATTCCAACTATCATAAATATTGCTCTATGAGAGAGAATCAGATTGATGTTACTTGAAGGTGAAGCAAAAAAAGTGTTGAGGTGATGAATATTGAAGCCTTGAGAAGTGGATGATTGATTGAGGATAGCAAGAAAGGCTTGTTATTGTTCAACAGTAAATCCAATAGAACTTCCTCTATGAGCGACTTCATTTTGATGTTTAGTGTTCTCCACACCACCATCTTTAGTTGTAGCAGAATGATCAAATTTGGCTCTATTGAGATATGGGGGCAAACCATGCTTTTTGAAGCACACTTCTATTATGTGATAGAGTTTCTGACAATATATGCAAATCTTGAGACCTCGCGCACGATCGGTTGAAGTGAATTTGTTGTTAGAGTTCCATGGTTTTGATTTGTTAAGGTTTTGAGACTTGAGCTACAAACTTGTCTTCTTCGATTGGTGTGGTATATTGTTGTTCTTGCTGAGTTAAGAGGAAAAATACATTGTTTTTTGGGGGGGGGGGGGGGGGGGAGGTGGGAAGGTGACATAAGCATGATGCTTGATGGAACTGTGGAATATTGTTTGTTAAGCCCTTTCAAGAGTCGAAAGACATAGTCATTCTCTCGCTATTCTTTGATTTTTGGAAGAAGGTGAAATTCTGGTATCAGATATTAGATGTCGAAGGAGATGTTCACGACACAAATATCTGTTTGTTAAGGACAAAGAACAAAGCTAAACAAATAACAATTAAAAATGACACAGTAATTGTTAACCCAGTTCGGTGAAACACACCTACATTTGGGGGCTACCAAGCCAGAGAGAAAATTCACTATTAGTAGAATTAATTTGGAGCTAAACTCCCTGTTTACAACTCCTCACTTAATCTCTACCCAATGCAATTTCTTCCTAGAACCCACTAGACAAGAGACACCTCTCACCCCCCTCAATCACAACAATGATAACTTTCAATACACAATAAAAAGACTTTAGAAAACACTCTTCAAAATCACAACTTGATCTTGCTTATAAGCTTTGATCAAGTACCATACACTCTTGCTTAAGAGCTTTGAGTGAACAATTAACAATTAACAAATAACAACTTAGTCCAATTCACACATTAAACAATGAGTGAATGGCTCACAAAACTAACACACACGAAGCCTAAACTTAAACAAATGCACACACTTTTTAATCCTTACTTCTCTAAACTCCAAGCTAGGGTTTCAGCCTCTATAAATAGTAGTGCACGATGGGCTTGGGCTATTCCAAAAGTAACAACAACAATCTTCATAAATAGCAGCAATCAATCAGATTTGATTTGGATAATCAAATCTAATCATATCAATCTTCAAATCTGCAAATGATCTCCTGATATTAAATCCAAATCAAATCCAATCTGATCCACAGAAAGTGCATTCAGAAACG